TCAATATTAAAATCAGTTAGTAATTAGATTAGATAGAGAAAAGTAGAATTTTAAAGCATATTATATAAAAAAATTTTTTTAAAATAAAAAAAAGCTTTACTATTAGTTAAAAATAACTGGTAATAGTTAAATTGTTTTTTAAAAGCCTATAAAGACTAAATCTTAAAAGTTGTGTTTAATTTGTTTTATTACTAAAATTCTTTTATGCTTTCTAGTTTATTATAAAAAAAACACATAGCCAATTTAATAATGTTCAACGCAAAGAAATTTGTAAATATGCAAACAATAATTTATTAGTGAAACAACAAGATATCGCTAAAGAGTTTATACAAAGGTACTCTAAATTAAAACTTGACCAATTAACCATTTTTAAAATTTTTTTAAAAAAAAATCAATATCTGTATTTTAAAAAAAATACTGTCATACAAATCATTACAAAAATAAAGGCCAAAATTGTCTTTAATTAAAAATACAATGAACATTTGGGTTAGTCAAGTTTTAGCTACAGAATTACCTCTTTTAGATAAATTAATCAAATTAAAGATCATGAATTTAGAAGACTTCTTGGTATTCCTAAAAAGAAGCTAAAATTTTCAAATGAATAGATTACTAATTATAAAAAAAAATTCCTTACGCAGATATAAGCTTCACAGTGAAGCCACAAGTGCATCTTTAAAATCTCTAGCAAATAAAAGAATAAAGCTTTGACAACTTTTTTTTAAATATAAATTAAAAAATATATATAATACTAATAAAACTGAATTGTTTTATTAAATATTGCCAAATTAAACATTAGCAAAAAAAGCAGTTACTAGGTCAAAAAAGTAAGAATCTTTTTTTTTTAATATACAGTAAACTAGTGATAGAGAAAATATATTTTTTATAATAATATGTGCATAATTCTGTAATATGTATATTAATATATATAATTAAGAAATTATACGTATATATAAAATCTATTTCTAAGTAAAACTTCTCTAATATAAATTATCTCGAAATACATAGTATAGCTTGGCCCAATCTATAAGAGCATTATATATTTTTGCTTTCTATAAATGTATATTCTCTTTAAATACTAGTTCAAAAAGTATGTATATAGAAATTTTACTTAATAAAACTACTTTTTAAAAAAAAAAAAATTGTAATATATTTGTTGTCTCTATTATAGTACTTGTATTTTTTTACTCGATGCTTTGTTATTGTTTTTATATTTTTTAATAATTTTATTATAGGATAAATCATGATTTATATTACTACTTATTACGAATACAACTGGTTCATATAAACTTCGGCTCTTGTTATTAGATATTCAAAAAAACTAAGTTTTAATAATATAAGATTATCATAGCTTCTAGTAATATATGAAAATAATCAACAAGTATAGATGGAATCAGATATTTGGAAAAAATAGTTGTGTTATATTAATAATGGCTTTCATATTTAAGATAGAAAAATTTTATTTTTTGTAAATAATATATCATCTTACTGTTTATCCGAATTGTCTAATAATACAAAAAAAAAATATTATTAATATAGATAATGATGATAGTTGTTAATTAGATTTTGAAAATGAAGAAGATTTAGTAAATAATTACTCTGATTCACAAATTGATGATAGAAATAATGAATAGCAAAGTAAGTTAAAACAATAAAAAAAGAAAAAAAAAGTATTTATAAATCAAAAATCTACCATATTATGATCAAAGGGCATCAAAAACTACACAGAAGTAAAAGCAGAAAACTCTATAGAAGACCATATGAAAGTGGAAGACCTTGTGAAAATGAAAGCAGATGAACTCATAGAAGCAGAAGCAAAAAATTCCTGAGAAGCAGAAGCGAAAAACCCATGAAAGACCACAAATTTCTCATATTGAGTCTTTATATCAACAAAATAAAAAAATGTCTTTTAAGATATTAAAACTCTCAAATATTATTTTGCATTACCTTCTATCAAAAACAATAGCATATATTTAGTCTATAGATGCTAATATAATTAAATCATTTAAATTAAAATACAAGTATCTATATTGCGAATATATTCTCTGGCAATTCAAATCTGATATTAATATAAAAAAGTTTGTATAAATCTTATTGTGAGATTGGTTAAAACAAATTTACGTTCCTTTTGAAATATAAATTCTCTAAAACTTATCTATACTATTTCATAACAAATATTAGCTTAAATCTCAATCTAACTTTAGCAATAAACCAAAAAATATAAGTGCTATTAAAGGAAAACCTGCTATTGGGAAATCTGATAACAGATTTTTCTTTGATAGTACTTCTATTTAAAGATTTGAATTTAACTATTCCTAATCTGTTATTATTTTGCTAATATAGTTTTTTTTTTACAAAAAAAAAACTAATTGTTAAAAAGGTAATTAATTTTATTGCAGATTCATAAAACAGTATAAGTAACATGGTTATTCAAAATTGTTAGCTCAAGATAGAGATTCTTCTGAATACAAATGAATCAAAAATGGATACCATAGATCAGTATATTGAAAATGATATTTTATTTGATAATATGAAATTAAGAAAGTTATTATTAAATTATCTTATGAAAGCATATATGTACCTAAGATGGTTTAGACTGTAGCAATATATGTACAAGTAGTTAACAATTCTATTACTACAAAAAAAATATTTAAAAATAAAGAAATCATTGCCACAATTCAAAATAAAGAAAATGAGAAAAAGCCAACTGAACAAAAAATTGAAAATAAAGATGAGATACTTAATTATCTGTAATAGCTGCTAAAGTATATAATATGATACAAACCGTTATTTACTATGAAGAACAAGAAAATTCAAAATTAACTATT